CAGACAGGCAGGAGCTGGCTCGGCATTCAATGTGCAGCGCCCAGTGCACGCGGGTGGGCAGATCGCCCCTCCCTCCCCACAAGGCGTCGGGAGGGTGGACTGGGTGAAGGAGCGGCAGGCGAGAGGGAGAATGAGAGGCGGCAGGCGGGCGGTGAGGAGGCATCGAGAAAGAGAGAGGGGAGGAGAGAGAGACGGCGAGCAGGATTTGAAGACGGCGGCAAGGGAGGGCAGTACCTCCCCGCATGGCATCTTGAGCCGCAGCATGAACTGGTACGAGTGCTGCTTGTCCTTGCCCTTGAGGGAGCGGTCCTGCTGCATGTACGAGCCGTGGTGTTTGAGGATGTGGATCGAGTCCTTGCCGACGAAGATCTCGTCGTCCCCCATGTCGGTCCGCAGCGGCTCCTGGAGCAGTCCGCTCGCAGCCTTCACCACCTGCACGTGCTCCTGCGTCTCGAGGTTCGTCCACGGCTTTGGCCACGCGTGGGCGGGCTTGGTCGGCCCGTATACCTGCTTCTCGCCGAGGTCGTCGAAGACAGCCGCCTGGCCACCGTCGTCAGGCTCCATGCGCACCGCCCTCGCCCTCAAGCGCCGCGGCGCGGAGACCGCGGACCCGCCCGGGAGGAGGGAGGGGTGAGGCGGAAGCAGCAACAGCAGCATCGATGTGTGCCTCCCACGCGCCGCAGCCGACTTCCTGAGCGAGGAGTGCCCAGAGAGTGCCTCTCCCCAAAAGAAATAAACCAAAACCAGTGGGAACGGGCCCTAGCTATGCTCTATGCACGGTAACATGTAAGCCAATTAGGTCTTTGCGGCGCGTACCTCCGCCCGCGCCGCCCAGCGGCGGGCTCCGTAACGCCGCCTCCTCGATCGCTGCCCCGCGCTCTACCTGCCGTCTCGGCTTGGCAACCCGCTTGGGCTAAACCTCGCAGCCTGCACTGGGCCGATGCGTCGGCGCGACTCCCTCCTCTACTCCTTGCTCGGCTCTAGCCCAGCGCCGCGTTGAGCGAGGCCAGCCCGCACTTTCGCATCACGTTGGCGTGGATGTCGCCGTTGGTCGCGATCGCGCCGACCACGTGCGCCGGCAGCGCCGTGCCCTCGCGGCAGACCTGCGGTGGGGAGAAGTCTCGGGGTCGAGTACTCATTGAGTCTCTGCCTCGCTGCCTTTGCCGTCACCCCCGCCCCCGCGTGGGCTCAGACCGGCGGCGCGTGCTAACTGCGTGGCACGCGG